GATAAAGTGTTGACCTGTGGACTGAAGTGTCCCGAGTTTGATTCTGATCAAGGGCACATGCTAGGGTTGCAGGCTCAATCCCTAGCAGGAAGCATGCAGGAGGCAGCTGATCAATGCTTCCCTCTTATCATTGATGTTTCTATCTCTCTCCCTCTCCCTTCCTCTCTAAAATCAGTAACAATATATTTTTTAAAAATCACATCCTAGAAAATGTTAACAGTCCCTTCAAATTCTAATAGTAAATAATTCTTTAACAAAAAAAAATGTCTTCAACTTCTTATCACATTTAGTCAACAATGAAGGTGAGAATGGTTGACAAGTTGACACAAATGCCTACCTAATACCAAGGACTGCGTTGGAGAGCAGGGCAAGTGAGCAGGAGCAGCAGGAGTTGTAGCCATGTCCACACATCTAAAAAGTAGTGGCATTTATGAGTCCGTACACCTCATATTTCCTTCTCACGTTCAAACTGATCAGTCCCTTGGCTGTTATAATAATTACATAGTTTTATTCCTATTTCATGGATTGAGAACTAAATTTGGAGCAAACCATTTGTTAGAGAGCACACTAATATTAAAATGTCTTATTAAATTCGGTCTTTAAGTCTTAGCATATTTTAGGGGCTTATAATATGTTCCCCTGTGTAATAAACACGCAACTTAACCCCATTCATGAGCATATATTATAACTGCGTGCCAACAAGCCCCTTTAATTGGACAACCAAAGTCAGGTTTCTCTTCAGCCTGGATTAAGATATCCCTGAACTGTTCTTTCATGATTAGCAGCTTTGGTTTCATCACCATGCGTAATTACCCTTCTTCTTCCTAGGAGTTTTCAGTATGGAACTAAGAGCACTGGCTTTGGAGTCGGACAAATCTGGCTTTGAATCTTAGCTTTAACATTTAAACATATGAATGAACTCCCTGAAACTTGCTTTCCTATTTGTAAAGTGGGATCATTAAAAACATCTACTTCATGGAGCTGTTTTGAATATTAATTAAGATGCTATGCACACAGCCTCTAGAACATATTGAGTAATACATAAGTTTGGCTTTTGCTATATTTTGTCACCATGGTTGTGATTTCATATCATTATCACAGGAAGCTAGTGGCTTAGAAGCATCACCTGGAATCATCCATTTCTTTGCATTTGAAAATCACCCTCTCTTCCCATGGTTTGCTGTCCTCCAGGAGGCTGGGAGTATCCTCTACAAGCAATTAGGGAGGACCACTCCAACACACATGTACTTTTTAAGCCTCTACTGAATCATTTTGCTAATATCCCATTGGCCAAAGCAAGTCATGTGGCCAAACCCAGCAACAAGGAGAAGAAATGGACTTGACCTCTTCATGAGGGAAGTTGCTAAATATTATGGCCATTTTTTTTTTTTTTAGTTTACTATAAATACTAATAAATAGATTCCTATGATCTTGAAAAAAATCTTTATGTTGATAATAGTGCTTTGCTTAAATAATCATTTCTAAGCCGTGAGAGGTGACTTAGATTATTATTTTTATTACCATTTACAGGTGAAAATATCTGACATTTGAAAAGTTTAAATGCCATGTCTGAATCAGCATGGACTAGATTTTAAAGCTTCTAATTGAAGTAATAGTTCTCCCAACAGTATTGGACTTGACTTATTAAAAGGCTTTTTTTTAATTCGTGAGACTTTGGTAGCATTACTTTGTTTTTCCTTATGTCCCAGTGGTCATTAGTTTCCTAGTGAGCTTGATCCTTAAGACATAAGAATAATCCATTTAAAAATATATAAGATATCCTTCTCTCAAAACCGTACAATCTAATTCTAGCCTCATTTATTGTGTTTGTCTTTTGAAAGCAACGTAACCCATCTCCTTCAATGAACTATATTGCGAGAGGGTAGATTACTTATGGAATGATTAGATGAATTCTTAAAGTCATAATAAGTGCCTCCCTTTCAATTTCACTGAATGATTTACTGCCATCCTTGCCCTAGATTAGAAATCTGGATAAACAGTAGTCCTGAGGGCCTGACAAATTGCATGGTCACTTAAAAGATTATGTAAGATCTAGATTAAGGTTCTATTTTAGGGCTACATAACCATGACCCACAGTGGTTCCATAACTGTATTTTGAAACAGTGCAATTTAAACTTAAAATTCAAGTTACTAACATCCCTGCCCTCCCATCCTTGATATTTATTTTTCAGTTGAGAAGATTAAGAATATCTATTTGTATTTCACTTTATAATTTTCACATACTTTATTTAATTATCACAAAAGGCTAGGACATTTAGTGATACTATTATATTTGTATCTCATTATAGATGAGAAAATTTGGCTCCAAAAAGGATAGGTTACTTTTCTGAGATCACACATTTGTTAGAGAGCACACTAATATTAAAATGTCTTATTAAATTCGGTCTGAAATGAGTGGAGCCCAAACTAAGCATGCCTCCCCCCCCCTACCTGCCCACCCTCCTTTTTCTGACTCAATGCATATATTTTCTTCATGGTCACATCACCTCAGTTTACCTTTGCAGAGTGATAGAGAATGTGCTGACTTCATTCTCATCTCCAATACTATTTATTTTTTATGTAACTATAAACTGAATTAACAGTTTATTGAACTATTTCATAAGTCTTATTTTCTTAGTGATAGGATAAGCTTTACCCCTCAACCCCCACCTCTGATTCTGCCACATTATTCACTATCCTATTAAGAACCCAAAAGGCAGGCAGCAAATACTTGTCGGAGCAGACCGTCTCCTCACTAGGAATGACCCAAGCTGTCAGGCTGCAGTGGGACTGTGATTGGTATTTTACTGCCTCATGTAGTTGCCTCTTTAATCCAAGCAGCTGTCAATGCCAGACTGCCCACGGAAATTCTCAGGTATGTTTGCTCCCCTTCTATTTAGGCCTAAAGTACATCTGCTCACATCCTACCTTCACCCACAACTACTGGGCCCCACATGGAGAGTTTAAAATAGCTAATGGGCATCACAACAGATATTTGAGGCACATTAAAGGGATCTTTCAACAAGCTGAAGTCCTGTGAAGGTCATCCTCCCAGGAGGCCTGTGTTGAAGGTGTAGGCAGTTCTCAATAGCTGCAGGGAAGGATGCCATCCTTTGGTTAGCAAAATGCCATCTCCCCGCTCAGCCTCCATCCAAACCCCTCACTTCCTTCCACCGTTTGGGCATGTGTCCCTCCGTGGCTCAGCGTCCCAATCATACATTCTCTTTGAGATTAGTCTTCAACTTAGTTAAAACATGTGATGTGTAACCTGCTCAGTTCTCCTGGGTTTTCACATCTCCATTGTTAATAGATTTAGTTTTGTGTGGTTAGAAAATGTCAACATGTTATCACACTCATCTTATTCTTACTAGTTCCTTTCAAGCCTCACTCATGCTGCAGTGAGTGGTTGGACCCTTTCTAGATATTCATTCTTACATTCTTACATTTATTCAGAGGCATTTTGCTTGGTGCTGGGATTGTTATAAAAAGCAAAAGATTCCTGCATAGAGAGTTATTATGGACTAATAGGGAAGAAATACTCAAATGGTTAGACAGATAAATGGGCATTGCAATTCTGGTAGGTGATATAAAGGAAGAAGCACATGATTATCCACAGGGCTAGACTAAAATCAGGCAGATCAGAGAGCTTTGTGGGGGAAGTGACTCTAGAACTAAGATCTGGAGGCAGAAGAGAGCTTACAATTCATAGTGAAGAGAGTCAAGTAGAGGGAACTTATGATACAGACTGACCTATATCTCCAACTAGTACCAGCAACTATGGTACATGCATCAAGAAGTGTAGGGGGGGAGAGGTATAGGAGTGGGCAAGATATATATATATATATATATATATATATATATATATATATATATATATATATATATATATAGTAGGGAAATTTGACATTGTCTGAGAGAATTAGAGAAGATGTCCTCAAGGAGTGTCAATTAAATTCAATAAAAAAAAAATGATGATTATAAATTGTGTGAAGAAGAGGAAGTGAAAGAAGGCATCATTTGCAGAATGACTCAGCAATGTAGAGACTGTAGGGAGGCCGAGCAGATAAAGGGGGCAAGGGAACAGAGAGGGACACAGACAGTGGTCTTTCAGGTCATGGTAACATCTTACACTTAGGCATAATCAGTCTATTGTTACAACTGCATCTAAAACAGTTTTCCTGGGATAAATGTTTTTCCACCAACCTCAAAAATAAAATACTAATTGAAGGTCCAACTGATGTGCCTCTAAAATATCAAAATAAAATTATGAGAGAACACACGTGGGGGGTGTCTAAAAATGACCCAAGTTGGTAGACTCCAAATTGAAGCTCAGAATGAATGAAACCCGAATGAGGACACTTACTCTGTAGGAGAGTTATCTCTTCTCGCATAACTGCTGCAGTTCCCCTTTCTTCTCATGTTTAGTTTCCTGAAGGTGAGATGGGTACTCCTGCTTTGTGAACTTCCTCAGATCTAGGGAACTTGTCCTCACTACCTTTCTCATCTGACTTTCATCATCTTCAGTCAGGTACTTCAATCAAAGTAAACTTCAAAGAAAATGAACTTAAATTTAAAATGAGCCTATATATTTTTTTTTCTTTTCACTTTCCTAAATCTTCCCAACAAGATCTGATCAGTAATAGATATTCAGTGGACAAAGTTCTAAGAAATCTAGAGTGAATTTTATCTCAACAGCTTACTTTAATCTTTAGCAGGTGAAGAAATGAGGTGTTTTGTTTATATCCCCCTCCCCTCAAACTCCCCAGCTATGCCTATTTGCTATACAAACAGAATACACTTTGGATAATCAATTTGTTGTCTTGCAATTTTTTTCTTTGTAGTCAATCAAGAAAATCAACTTATATAATAATTGTGTTTGTATATCATCATAGAACAAATAATTTAAGAAAGAAATTTATTATGTAGTTGATATAGATGATGATGGAAAATAATTCTAAGACAGTGATTTTCATGACTAAATATTTATTATTCTAATGCAGGATGAAGAGGAAGAAATTAAACAAGAAATTAACATGTTGAAAAAGTATTCTCACCACCGTAATATTGCTACATACTATGGTGCTTTTATCAAAAAGAACCCACCTGGCATGGATGACCAACTCTGGGTATGTAGTGCTTGCCAAAATTACTTTTTTTTACATGAAGAACAACCAGGACTAAATGGTCTATTTCTCTATCCTCATGACTAAATTTGATTAAGGAACTCTTTAGAAACCCATAGCCCAATGATTTTTATAATATTGTTGATTTAAGGTTTTCTCCTATTTCTTTGAATACCTCTCTGTCTTTTTAGTATCTCTCTCTTCTATCTTTTAATGTAGACCATCCTTAGAGCCAGTTGTTCTCTGTTGTTGTTTTTTTCCCATTAATGACTACCTATATCAGTTTTTATTATATTTCAAGCACTGTACTATTTTTTTCTGGGTTATATAATTTATTCTGGCTCTTTGAGGTAGACATTATTATCATCTTCATTTTTTGGATAATGAAACTAAGGTTTATAGAGAGAAGAAGCAAACTCTCTCAAGATCTAAATAGCTAGAAATGGTGGAGCTGGTATCTAAACAAGCTCTACATGATATGCTCTTCTTATCTATCACTGATGTGTGGATGACTGACATTTAAATTCTAACTCTATGAGTGAAACACTTATGATCGTGTCTCATACCATCTAGGTACTCTCAAAGGTTGCTTTCCTTCTTTCTCTTGTCCACTCAGATATGTGCCCTTGTACTGTATCTTTGACAGTCTATAAGTCAGATCTAATTGACTATTCCTTTATTTAAAAATTCAGTAATCTGATACCAAAACCACTATTCTGATCCCTTTCCAGCCCAGATTGCTCTTCTCACTTTCCTGATTTTTTCCATTGCAAGTTTTATTCACCTTGTCCTATGGGAAAGCTTATACTGCTGCTTTGGTTTGACCATTCTATGCCAGTTCAATGAAAGCGTAGATTTTGGAGCTTCTCTCTCTCTCTCTCTCTCTCTCTCTCTCTCTCTCTCTCTCTCTCTAACACACACACACACACACACACACACACACACACACACACACACACTCCTCAGTTCATCTCATATATTATTCTTAGATTAATGGTTCCAAAAATACCTTTTAACTATTTATCATCTTGCTCATTTTCCAGAAATATTAATATGTGTCTAACACACAAAATTCACTGAATTATCCAGTGCTTAATATATATCAAATTATGTATTAAACTGTGTGTATCAAATTACCACTATTTCATAGATAACTTGCCACAGATCTCAGTTTTGAATGGAAGATACTCTCTTAATTCATATGACACTTATAGCCCAGCTAAAAAGAAAAAATATACACAGTGACCACAAACAGATATCAAAAAGAATATAATAATGTTGGCTCAGAAAAATAAGATTTTCATGTCATTTGATATTGAATACTACAGTTGTTGAAAGTGAACAGATCTGCTGGGAATATCCCTCCTCCCCAATAAGACCCATCTCTAAATTTAAAATAAAATGTGTACTTTGAGTAAGTAAACCCACTTTGTATGACCACATTGATTTTATATATTTTTATGTGAACTCTGAGTTATAGTTAGACTTAATTATGGCCTCTTAAGTGTACGTTAGATATAAATATGATAATAAAAAACATAAAAGTAATAAGAGAAAATAAATGTGACTTTATAATACTAAATAGAGATATATGAAGTTTCTTATTATAAAACACAAGAAACAAAATAAAAATCCAAATAGCTAATTTAGAGAAAATATTCATTTCATAAATGATAAGAATTTAATAGCTTTCCAAGGAAAGAATTTTTATAAATCAACTAGTGGCCTGGTGCATGAAATTCATTCATGGAGTGGAGAGGGGGTGATCCCTCTTTCCAGCCTGCACCTTCTCCAATAGGGGACCCTTTGAAAGATGTCCGACTGCCAATTTATACATCCTTCTTGCAATCTGGAACCACTGGCTCCTAACCGCTCACCTGCCTGCCTGCCTGATTGTCCCTAACTGCCTCTGCCTGCCTGATCGCCCCTACCTGCCCTCCCCTACTGACCTGATCTTGCCCCCAACTGCCTCTGCCTGTCTGATCTCACTCCCAACTGCCATTCCCAGCCAGCCTGATCTCATCCCCAAATGCCCAGCCCTGCCAGCCTGATTTCACCCCAACTGTCCTCCTCTGCCTGCCAATTTGGTTCTGATTGGTTGGTTTCTATACCAGTCTGTCAGCATCAAAAGCTCTGCCTCCTATGCAGCCATTGGCTCCTCACAATTGACCCAGATTTGGTTCTGATTGGTCAGTTTCTATGCCAATCAGTGTCAAAAGCTCTGCCTCCTAGGCAACCATTAGCTCCTCACACTTCACCCAGATTTGGTTCTGATTGATCAGTTTCTATGCCAGTCAGTGTCTCTGGGCCTATCAATAAGACCTGATCAGAAAGGTGGGGCTGATCCGTAGTCCCAGTGGAGGCCTGGTGAGAAATGGAGGTGTGGCTACTGGCCAGACTGGGAGAGAAAAAGAGAGTCAAGTGCTAATCAAAAGCTGCCACAGAGGCAATGGATCAGTTCCTGCTTCTCTCATCAGGTCTCTCTCTGGCCCTGATTCTCAGCCTTCCTCAGCAGTCAGTGCTGGGGCACCATTCCTGCAGCAGAAGCAGTCAGCAGCTGGGTTGCCACAGCAACCCAGCAACTGTAGGACTGACTTCGGGTTGGTCAAGCCTCGGTCGTTTTGACCCAAGGTTTTTATATATTAGGATACGAAAAATAGGAAACTACTAATAGTTTGAGTAAAGAACAAGACAGCAATTACAAAGTAAGAAGTAGCAATAACCAATAAAGGTGTTTTTAAAAGGTAACTTACTAAAAATATAAATGCAAAAGATGAGAATTAGATATCATTTCTTACCTAGCAGATTAACAAAGATTTTTAAAATGAAATATCAAGAATAGACATGTACACCCCTGCTTATGGTAATAAACATTGGTGCAGCTTTATTCGGGAGCAATTGGAATATATAAGACACACACACACACACACACACACACACACACACAAACACACACGTCTCCCAAAGAAAGTGCTTTACATGAAAATAACCCAGTATGGTTGGAGATTTCCATGATGGCAGCTTCCATTTCAGGCTACACCTTCAGGACTGTATGTTTCCACAGTGCCAACAGCAATGACGATCACGAAGGATTTTTGCTGGGAGAAGTGAGACAGGAGGGAAACCTTTAGCATCAGTGACTCCCGAATCAGGAACACAGTTTCTGCAAGTCATTGAAACCCATAACCATCAGCCTTGTTCAAAGTTTTTTAGTTTTTATGATTATGCAAGCAAAGTTAACAAAGAGAGTTTGAACAGCTGGTATAGATTTCCGAGGAACACACAGCAGCAGATGTCATACAGGGAGCAGGTCCTTCACAAGCAGCTCACCCGCATGTTTGAGGTGCCTGACTGCATCTTCCTCCTCTTCAGCTTCATCTCCACCACCAGCAATTCCTTGCATGCTCTAACTGTCCTCTTCAGACCAAACCAAAGGTATAATCAAAGGATCTCCCTTGCTATTCCCAACCTGGGCAATACCAGCCAGCAAGAGTATAAAGTGTCTTCAGTGCCACACACGCCTAGAGTTATACCAAAGTCATGGCACTGTCTTCTTTGACAAGCATGGAGTCATGAAGGACATCAAGGCCATCCATCAGGTTTACAACACGCTGCAGAGGAAGGTGCAGGCAGTGTGTGCAGATGTAGAAAAGAGTGAGTGAGTGGTTGAATTTTGTGAGGTGGAGGCGAACAAATTAAAAAGAAGACAAACCACTCAGAGGAAAAGGAAAAGGAAAAAGCAAGAAGGCTGCAGCAGGCGATGGTCAGCAGACAGGTGCCACCGGAGAGTCTGGAGCCAGCGCTCTGCCCTCAGATGCCATACCTGGGCTTGCAGCTGATGGTGGAAATACCTTAGCAGATGCCAAGGTCTCTGACCCCCCCCACCTTCTTATTCAGATTTTCACCCAAACAATCAAGAAAGTACTTTGAGCCATTCTTACATGGAAACAAGTGTCTTTATGCCTCAACCTCAAGCCATGGGTTCCTCTAGCTTTGCCCCAAAAGTGCCGGACTGAAGTACCCCGAAGGCGGAGCAGGCCTTTCTCCTTCACAGAGAGCCACTGGGGACAGCGTGGAGGGGTCAGACGGCACTGGTTATAAAAATCTGACTGAAATCTGATTGACCCGACAGAGCCCTCCAGTAGCGAATACTCATACTCAAGGGATTCTTGGTCCATGACACATCCCACAGGGAGCTCCAGGAATGCTCAGACCTCCCAGATTTAGCTACACAGAATAAACTCCACTCAGCACTGTTTTATTAATCACTATTGAGAGAAGAGAGTTTTTTGAGGACTTAATCTAGTGGGAGAACTGGTTTCTCAGACCCTCGGCACCCAAAAGTGTCCTGGGCACAGAACTGGCAGGGCCTCGCATCCCCAGGGCTTCACCCGCAGACCCTGTGGGCAGGTGTCAGGACAGAATCATTAAGATAATCAAGTTGTCCTAATTCTGGTGCCATTCATGGTTATCCTGGTAAATTGAGGCAGAGAAACTTGTCAACATAGTTTCTGTTCTTTAAAATAAATTGGAAATTAGAGGCTAAGCACTATCTTGTTCCATAAATCAAAACTTACCTCTTGCACTATCTTGTCTTGAAATTTACCTTTTCAAAGGGAAATGAGTTTAGCAGCAGCCTTCAAAGAACCTTCTTTCTTTAATGAGCCAAATTCATCTTTACCAGAAAGATGAATTTGGATCATCATAGAAAGATTTTAATAATTCCAAGAAGCCTGATTGGACCAGACCAGATGTGCCTTCTCTTGTCTGCATGACTTTGTAAGATCAAAAGAGGGCTTTGTTTTAACTGTTTTCTACTAGCCTGATACGTGTTGTCACTTAAAATGGTTGTCTTTAAAAACATGTAGAAGTACTAATCATCCAAATAAGTATGTCATAAAATAAACTCCTTATCTTTTGTGGGGGAAAAATAATAATAACCCAGTACTTCCACATACAGGAATGTATCCTAAATAAATACTTGGACAACTACCTAAAGATGT